TTCAAAGTGTGAAAAAATTTTGATGAGCTTTTCCATATAGTTTGGTGAGCTTCGCAGATGTCCTTGGTGAGCTTTGCAGTGATCAGTGGTGAGCTTTGTGTCATCTGACCGTAGCATGTCATCTTACCATAAGGTGTCATCTGATTGGAGTCAATCACACACACACATATACACATATATACTCTTCTCCAATTCACAGTCCTACATCATTCTCTGCATTTTCCAATGTCCAGCTTCTATTTTAATTATTCCTTTCCTTCATTTTCATCGGCTTTTTCACTAGATCTTTTTAATCACTTTGAAAGGAAAAACTCTTATCTCCAATCGATTGTTTAGGGGAATTGGGTTGCAGCTCTTTTCTTAGTAGTCATGGCATATGTTATTTTGCGCTGATCTCTGACTTCAATTTTCGGATGCTAGTCCTTTAACTCCCAGTTATGGTAGATATCAAATAAGGGGATTCGTTTTTCTTCATCTTTTTAAAATCATACTAGTGCGAGGTATTTCTTTCTACATAATCTTAAAGATGAGTCCTAATTTTTTTATGTGTGTTATGCTAGAAAGCAATTGCTCATAGTCTTAAAGATGAGTGATCATAGACTTAAGGGAGAAACTTTAATGCATCATTTTGATTTTGTCTATTATTCAACATAAGCTAAACATCATAAAAAACATCTCTTTTCACTAAATTGCAGTTTATTAGGATAATTTTTTGTAATCTCTAAAGCAGTTTTTAGTTTTTGTGGACAACCTACAATGTAAGGCCAAGGTAAACAAGCAAGCGTATGTGTTAAATATTTCAAAAGTATTGGTAATACATAGACCTGGCAAAACTGACCCAGACCCGATGACCCGAACCGAATAACCCGAAACCGAACTTGATTTGACCCGAAAACTGAAGACCCGAAATAGAACCGAACACCCAAAATGACCCGAACCGAACCGAACCGAAACCGAACCGAATGTATTCAGACCCGATTCAGATCCGAATCCGATTTAACCCGAACCCGGTTAAACCCGGAACCGATTAGACCCAAAATTGATCAAATTCATTAATATTTCATTTATCAAATGAACTTGGAGAAAAAGAATTACATATATACTTTTACATATGTTGATGTGTTTCTAAAAAAACATATTTAAATTATGGGTGCAAACCGTATAACTACTTTGATGTACAAATCTTTTACTCCGTATTTTATAACTTAAGTTATACTGTAGTATTTTTGTATTTTATCGCCTTCAAACTTAAATTTTGACCAACATCGTTTCTTCAAAAATATTAGCAAAAATATTAAAAATAATATATTTCAAGTGTTTTTAATACCCACAATTTGGTAATAATTTTTTCTCTGTATATTTTAATTTATTATATATTTTTATATATAATTATTCAAATATTTGACACACAGAGTGAAATGGATAGTTAATTAGAAATAAAGGAAGTACGAAGTAGAATGTCAACTAAAACGATCGTGCCGAAAACTTTAGGAGGAAAAACATTAGAATGTAAACAATTAGTTAATTATATGTAAGTGTTATTTTTTATGTACGTCCGTGTTAAATAATAAAATAACTACGAAGTATATCATAAATTGATTAAATTTATTATGTGATATTATTGATTTATTAGTAAATATTGAAAATATATATAAACTAATATAAACCTAAATCGATACAAACCCGAACCGATATAAACCCGATCCGATACAAACCCGAACCGAAACCGAACCAAAACCGAAAACCAGTCAAACTGAAATAAACCCGGAACCAAACTGACCCGAACCGACTCGATCCGAACCGATTGACCCGATTGCCAGGTCTAGTAATACAATTCTATCAACAAGATGCATTTTTTTCAAGAGCTCATAGCAAAGAAACTCCAAAATTAAGTATGATTGACTTCGATGACCCCTAGAAAGTTCTTAGGGTACGCCAAAGTGCGTGGAAGAGACAAGTGTTGATTTGTGAGGCTAGTCTACAATCTTAATATGAAACTTCTGGTCAGGGTGTAACAAAAACCATCATGTGTATGTAAATCCTTGCATCTGCACTATGTGTGCAAATGGTATAAATCCTAGTATGGCCTCAAGCAACCCCCATGTGCTTGGTACGCACATCTATTTTTTTTTGCAGGGCCTATGTTTTTACAGTTGCACACATTACACTAGTCACTTCACTCATTGCTTTCGAGTTGAGGAACGGTTATTATTCTAGTCTATATTGATGATAGAGCTATTACTAGAATTGGAAGCTCTCCATCTCTGATCTCTAATATTACACATGCCCTACAATGATATTTCTATTTGAAGGTTCCGGTCCTCTAAATTTTTTCCACACAATTGAAGTACAACATACCAAGGATTTTATCCTTTTTCACCTAAGAATACACTGTTGATTTTCTCACATACATGTGTTGGGACCCCAACCCCGCATTAGTATGATATTGTCCGTTTTAGGCCAAGTTCTCACGGATTTGTTTTTGGGCACCTCCCAAAAGGCCTCATACTAATGGGGTTGGGTGAACGTAACCTATATATTTTGGTTTATTTACTCCTAAACTTCCGGTGTGGGACTTGGAGGTATCCCAACAAACCTCCCCTCAACCAAAGACCACACAACTTCCGACCTCTCCTCCAGTGGTAATCCATCTTTTCCTTTTTATCTGTTAACCATCTTACACTGCCGCACACTCTTTGCGGGACACGCCGCCCAACCTCCTGTCGGGAAGACTTTCGACGCAAGGCTCAAACCGCAGATATTTCCTTCGTTGGGCTATACACCATTTGATTTGCCAAATCATCTTGTACCGCCGTGGCTATAACTTCACGGGACATGCCGCCCGACCTTCTCTCGTCAGGAAGATTTTCAACACAAGGCACCACCTACGGATCCTCTTTCTTGGTCTTGGTCCTATTGTTACACCGTCACACTGAGATTTTTCCACACTGCACAGTCCGCTGCTCACGCCCGCAAGAACCCGGGCTCCAATACCACATGTTGGGACTGTGCGTGCCCTCACCCCAACCTCGCATTAGTTTGATATTGTCCGCTCTAGGTCAAGCTATCACAGATTTGTTTTTTGGCACCTCCTAAAAGGCCTCATACTAATGGGGTTGAGTGAACGTAACCTATATATTTTGATTCATTTACTTCTAAACTTCCGGTGTGGGACTTGGAGGTATCCCAACAACATGGGCCATAATGACGAATTTAAAACCTGCCATCACACCTATGAAAACATAGCTAGTTCTTGTGCTATATTCGCCTTTCTCAAATCCCACTTTTTGCAACATTATTGGTGTGCCCTGCACTATCTTGTTGTTGCTAATTCAGATATACAATATGCCATTAATAGGATGTCTCAAACCATGCACAATGTGACTGAATAGAATTTCCAAGCATTGAATCTCTTTCTTCGTTACTTGAAAGGTACTATGCATCATGATCTTCTCATTCCAAAAGGCCTTTTGATCTCTCTACTTACTCTGTTTCTCATTAGGTTAAAGATAAAGATTATTTAAAATCTACTGTTGGCTACCTCTTTATGCATGGCACTAATCTCATCTTTGGTGTACGAAGAGGTAGACTTGTCTCTTGGTCTTCCACTCGTCGAGGTCGACTATCGAGCCATGGGCGTTAGGGTTGCAAAAGCTATATGGCTACAGTTTATTACTGATGCTCTGAGTATTCTTCCCTCTAAATGTAGGATCTTTTACTACAAAAATGAATCTCTCATCCATGTTACAAAGAATAATCGTGTTCTGCACGACAAAATGAAGTATGCTAGTTCTGATTGTAATTATGTGCGGGATGAAGTTCTATTGTACAACCAGCAGGAGTAGCAGATATTCTCAGGAAACCGCTTTTGTGGACTTTATTTCAATACTTATACTCTAAGCTGCCATTCATAACCATTGATCAACTTGTGGGGATAATAAGATTTATATACCCAGTATTGTTATAGGTTTTCATATTATTATAATTTCTTGTTATGTTTTATTACCATATTATGGCTCTATTTTTTTGTTGAAAAACAGAATTGGATGTTGGAAGAAATTAAAAGGAGCTGGAAAAAACTAAAAGGAGTTGGAAGAAACTTGATGTAGTTGGAAAAAACTGGAAGAAGTTGGAAAAAACTAAAAGAAATTGGAAGAAGCAGGAAGAAGTTAGAAAAAACTAGGAGCTGGAAAAACTGGAAGGAGTTGAAAGAAACTAATAGTAGTTAGAAAAAAACTAGAAAGAGTTGAAATTTCTTTGAAAGAGTTTAAAAAAGAATAAAAAATGTTAATATAATTATTTTATTTTCAAAAATTTCATATTTTATTTAATTATTTTTTTAGTTTTTCAATCTTTTTTTATTTTATTTAGATAATACTAATAATAAACCTAAATAATTTTTAAAAGTTATTGTTGGAAGAATTTGAAAGAGTTGGAAGAAACTTGAAAGAGTTGGAAAAGGTGAAAGGAGTTTGAAGAAACTCGAAGGAGTTGGAAGAAACATAAAAGAGTTGAAAAAACACGGAGTTAAAAAACTGGAAGGACTTGAAAAATGTTGAAAGTTAAGAGTCAACACTCGAAAGAACAAGCATATGCATACCTAACTATTATACTCCCTCCGTCCCATAAAGTGTTACCTATTTTGACTAAAGTTGAAATTAAGGGAGTGTTAATTTTATGTTGACTTTCCAAAAATACCCTTGATGTGATTGGTAAAAGTGGGATGTGATGGGTAGATTATTAGGAAAAAGTATGATGTGATAGGTAGGATTTGAAAAAGTAAGGGGTAAAAGTGGTTTTTTAATGGAAATAGGTAAGGGATTGTGGGACGCATTTTTTTTTGAAACGTGTAAATCTTTTTGGGACGAAGGGAGTATTTAGTAAGGAATCTCATGTATATATACCGATGAAATTCTCATTACTGATTAAGAGCATTTATTATATTATGAAATGGTATGGCGGTCCATATATATCTAGAAAAATTTACACTAAATAGGACTAAAACATAAGTCATTTTCTTAGGACTTAAACTCTTTAATTACCTAATAAATAGAACTTAATAATGCTTAGTAAGACATTTACTTGAATAATGATTAATGTATAATGACCAATGGTGTTACATTAGAAAATAAAAAGATATGATCCTATATTGAAAAAGTCATTATGTTTTAATTATATTTAAGTGAATTCCCATATACCTAATTGTGAACGTGATTCTACCATCAACATCACTCATGCAAGCTAGGGTGCGGGCTATTCTCATTTACATGCATTCTATGTACAAAAAGAACTCAAAAAAAGAATGAAGATCCAATGAACTACACATTAAATATAATTGAAATCCAAAACTAATACGCGAGAGGATCAATTGATCACCTATATATATATCATCTTCTTCAACCAAAATACTGACCCAAGAATTTGCGAATGCGCTTCCTCATGCTGCCACCTTCATTGTTGTGAAACGCCACCTCTCTACCGGAATTCACTTTTTCCTTTCCGGCGAAGCGGGTCCAGACCATCCCTTTGTGGTGGCGGAGATGTCGGGGACCGCGGTGCTGGTCGTGGTAGTAGCGGTGAAGGAACTTTTCCCACCTCGGCTCGACTTCACGAAAGCTATTGTGGCTGTTTTTGGACAACCGGTTTGGAGCCTCGTTCTCGTTGTTAGAATCGTGTAGGTCGTATTGGAACGGAAAACGCTTCGATCGGCCATGGCTAACGCTATCGTCATGGAACACCGCCCGATCCTCGAAACCGGCATTTTCTACGGGCAGCGAGAGCATCGTGGCATCGTCTCCAAAGGGGAATTCTAGTTGTGGTCCGTCGGGAATGGTTTCCTCGATGTGGTGGAGGTGGTTGTGGCGGCATAGGCGGTAGGGAACCCCCGATCTCAACCGGAACAAAGAGTTACGCTTGAGATCAACGAGTCGTGCTTTGACCTCATTATAGTCATTTGACTTGGGGTGGGCGTTTTCACCCTCAAAGTCTATATTTTGGTCATTAGGCTTCTTTCCCAACTCATTGTTGGGTCGAGGCCGGTGCACAGCCCGATTTTCAATAGGTTGGTCCGTTTTATCGGGCTGTTCCACCAGGCCATCGAACTCAAACGTTTCCTCCTCATTTGAGGCTTCGCTTGGGAGGCGAAGAGTGTCCTTGACGTCATCATATTCCGGCATAGCGCCGGAATGTTGGCGAACCACAGCCTCATACTTTGGCTTACTAATTTGAATTCGAGCAAGCGACGGCGAGAGGGTGAAGAAGATTACGACCACCACGACCGCAACGACTTTGGTCATTTTGCAACAATTTGTTTCCGTTTATTTGGGTGAAATATGGGGTAATAATTATATTAATTAAAAAAATTAATTTCTGATCTTGATGAATTTGTATGTGTATGAATATAGTACTACAATTTAGAATATCTAAGCATATATGCATGCATGCATGTGTACGTGAAACAGGCAAGGTAAGGTTTACCATCCATTTATACTGTGAAAATAATTAATTAAATTTACCACAGCCATATATATATAATATACCTTTTGGATTAGTGTTACCCTCTCTCTTTTTGTGACATCTCCCTCTTTAGCTCTTCTCCGATAAAGCTAAACAAGACATAAATTAGAGATGAAGGGAATGGGATTAATTATTTATCATTATAGTGAAGTACCCTTGTTTAATTTTTTTGCTCTTCTGGATACATTATTTTAATCATTAATATATGTTAGGGAGTATACAGTGGTCTTAAAATTAACTTTTCAATTTGACTTTCGGTGTCAATTTTTTTAAACTTTGACCGCATATTAAGGAAAGAATATATTGAATTTTCATATAAATTTAATATTAATGGATTTATTTTGAAACATACTCCCTCCGTCCACAAATAAACTTCTCATTCACTATTTACAGGGTCAAATTTTATTCGCTTAGTCGGCCTATTTTCGTCACCCATTTGATAAAATAATATAGTCATGTCACTTCTAGTTTTGTAGATCTTTTGCTATAGTTTTTTAATATGTAATTTTTATTTTTAAATTTTTCACCATTTTTCATATAAAATGATTTGAAAATAACTTCAGTCAAACATCGTAACGCGCAACGGGAAGTTTATTTGTGGATAGGGATGACAACGGGTCGGGTTTGGGTCGGATAGTACTATACCCGAACCCGAGCCGACTTTTAAAACCGAAACCCGAACCCGACCCGAAACCCGTCTTTTTAAGCCAAAAACCCGACCCGAACCCGACATTCCAACCCGAAACCCAAACCCGACCCGACTTTTAACCAATAATCAATTCAATGTACCCCAATAATTTTAAAAAGATTAAATCTAATTTTTTTGTGTCTCATTTTTTTTATTAAGGAATTATAAAAATGTTATAAATGGCATACTTGATATAGTAGCACTTTGTCAAAAGATTATATGGAGTCCTCATTATATCTATAGATAGACTTTTATGTTATAAAATATTCGGGTTTGAGTCGGGTCGGGTGCGGGTTCGGGTCGGGTAACATAATAAACTCACACCCGACCCGACCCGATGTCGGGTTCGGGTAAAAAAATTCGGGCCGGGTTCGGATTATTTTATTCTCAGTTTGGGTTCGGATATTTTAGTGGTCGGTCGGGTCGGTTAAGCTCGGGTTCGGGTTGAATTGACATCCCTATTTGTGGACGGAGGGAGTAATTTTAAAATATTTTATTTTATAATATATATTTATATATAAATAGAGATATTAATGGTCAAAGTATTGTATTAGAGAGCATAGATAGTCAAAGGAGAAATTAATTTTAGGATAAAGGGAGTAGTAAAATACTCCGTCCGTTCTCAAAAAGGGTTCCTAGTTTGACCAAGTGTAAAAATAAAGAAATGTTAAATTATAGTTGACTTCCAATTTTGCCCTTAATGTGATGGATAAATTATTAGAGAAAAAAGTATGATGTGATAGGTAGGATATGAAAAAAGTAAGGGTAAAAGTGGTTTTTAATAGAAAATGGAAGTATTTTGTTGGAAGTGAGAAAAATGAAAGAGAAAGTGTTTTTGAGAACGAAAAGAGTAATAAATTAAAAAATGTTCTAAAGAATGTGATTATCAATAGAAGAACCTTACCGAACAACTATTACTTTATATGACATTCACTTGATATTTGGTAGAATATTGAATGATTGTATTACTCAAGAAATAATTAAATACATTGTAGAGCATATATAGAGAAGAGATTACAAACCCAACTAGGAATAGGAATCAATAATAAATGCTAACTAAATACACAAATTCTACTATAAGTAATACTTTTTCGTCCCTAAAAGATCTTCCCCTTTCATGTTTTTGTTGTCCCCAAAAGATATTCCTTTATCTATTAGAAACCCATTTTTACCTCTTATGTTTTCATACCCTAGCTATCACATAATACCTTTTTTTAAAATAATCTATTCGTCACATTTTACTTTTACCCATCACATCAAGGATATTTTTGGAAAGTCAACACAAAAATATTCCTCTCTTAATTTCCCAAAAAATCAATAAGGGAAACCCTTTCCGGGACGGAGTAAGTATTAAATATTATTATTGTCTAACATCTTTCTTCAAGCTGAACTTCTTTTCAAGTGTGGAAGCTTGGAAACAAGAGCGCAAAAAGCGCGGTGAATGCAACACTTTAGCCAGCAAATTAACGAGTTGATTTTCAGAGAAAACCCGAGACACACTCATGGCACCAGCAATAACCTATTCTCGAACAAAATGACACTCAGTGCCCGCATGCGCTTGTGAAACACCAGATTAGTGGTGAAACAAATAGGAGAATGCTTGTTACAAAAAAGTTGTAGTGGTGAGACTGGTATACACAGATCAGTAAGAACATATATAGGTTAGACACATAACCTTAGAAGCCGCAAAGGACAAGACTTGATACTCTGCTTCAGTGGAAGAGTTTGACATATGAGTCTGCTTTTCTGTACTCTAAGACACCAAATTTGGTCCAAGATTAACAAGTAGCAGCATCGACGTGGGCGTGCAATCATCAAGCCGAGCGCGACAAAGAAGCTCAATGGGATGTTCTTTCTATGAAACAATATAATGACATGGGAAATGCTTGGTTCACAAACTCAATTATGGCCAATCACATTTAAAGAGGTAGCCAAAAATTTACCTTTCCAACAATGTTTTAGCAGTCCGTTTAATTTTTTTACATTCATTTCAACCATATCATCTACTTCATCATCCGTCCTGTAAAACATTTCCTGTTTGCACTTTTTGGATTAGAAATTGTAAAAGTTTGACAAAGGTGAAACGACAACAGTTGAAACGAGAAGGGTTCGGGAAATGTCAAAAATAGATAGTGCGTAGAAGGTAGTTGAGGTACGTTTACTTAGATTTAAGGAGATTGTGTCCATTTAGACTAAATTAAAATATTTTATGGGACAAGTAAGATGCAAATCTTGAAAAATTTTACGGGATATAGAAAGTATATTTTAGTTTTTTTATAATAAATTACTCCCTCCGCCCTTGAGTATTTGTTCATTTTTGACTTTTTCGGTCAACATTAGTAAACTTTGACCTCAAACTAAATAAAAATGATATTAAATATTGATATAAATATAGTTTTATTAGACTCATTATATCAAACATTTTTAAAATATTATTTAATTTAATTAATATACAATATATATTTTATTTAATTAAAGGTCAAAGGTTGAAAACGGTTGATGGAAAAAAGTCAAAACTGGAAAAATACTCAGGGACGAAGGCATTAATATTTTTAAATATATAATACCATATATGTTGGCACAAAATATTATTCATAAAATAACAACACACATTTTTTTGAAAAAATAACAACACACTTCTGTTTCTTTCCAATACACATACTGTAAACAATTTGTAGGCCAGGGCAACAGATACGTTCTGTTTCTTCACCATCCATCAAATCCCATTGAATAGTTACTTATTGAACTGGTTTCGTTCTTAACTTCACTCTCACATAGAAGAATTCTTAGTTCTGCATCAAGAAAGCCAAACCATAAATTGTTGTGTTGAGAGTCAAGAATCATTATTAAGATACAACCAAAATGACAAATTAACTACACACTATGAGACTTATTCATTTATATAAGTAAACAAATGTTTAGACTAGAACAATGAGACTTAAGGAATATATATCAAACAACTAACATACCTTGGCCTTTCTCGAACCGGCCTTTCCATGATCGTTCTCGTCATCGCTGCTGCTGCTGCTCCCGTTGGTCTTTTCTTTGGTCTTACTATTTTTAGCTTTGAAGTTCTTCAAGTGATCGCGGATCTTGGGCATGCAATGCGTTTCTTTCTTCTTCTTCTTCGTCTTCATCGTCTCATTGTCTGCCGCACGACGATGAGTTGCTTCGAATGCAGCTGGTTGCTGTTGCTGTTTCCCTGCATGGTGGAGCTTCATCATCTTGTTTGGCATCATCATCCCTTTCATCCTCTCTTTGCAGGACTGGTTATGAGTTCTGTTGGTCTTTGTTTGGGCTGTTATTGGAACACTTTGGTGGGTTTGGGTATAACCATTGGCTTGTGGCTCCTGCTGCTTCTTCTCATCACTTTGTGTTGATGATGCAGCCATATTGTATTGAATGATGATGACTTGCTAGAGAGGATCTTCTTAATTACTGCTTGCAAATTGTAATTGAAGAGCATTATTGAACCTAGCTAGCTATATATAGTTGTTGGGTGACAAACTGACCACCCAATCCCACACCGGAGCAATATGAGGACATGAATCATACTCCCTCCGTCCGAAAATTTCTTTGTCGGTTTGACTTGACATAGTGATTAAGAAAAAGTTGAAAATGTAAAGACTTTCCACGTGTTGCATTGTGTTAGAATATATAAAAACTATTCTTGGGCTACAATCACAAGCTTGAGTTTTTGGTTGAGTTGGTTTATTGACATGGTACCGGAGCCTTCTTGACCAACATGTCACGAGTTCGAAACTCACTGTCACCCAGTTTCAAAAAAAATTAAGGTTTCATGTGCACGATTCAAAGAAGACACGCTTGCACGTGAGGGGACGTGTAAAAGTATATAAATACTCGTATTATTCATGGACCACAATCACAAGTTTGAGCTTTTGGTTGAGTTGGTTCCTTGACATGTTACCCTTGATTTGATGAGATAAAGTGAATAGTATAGATAAAAAATGAAGGTATAATGACAGATTCATGAAAAGTTTTTTGCCAAAATAGAAAAAAGGAAAGAAATTTTTGGACGACCCAAGAAGAAAAGTGAGAAAGCAAATAAAAGAACAGTTGGAGTAATAAATAGGTTTAACCCAACTCGGTACTTATAAGAGTTTTTTGTCCAGAGCAAATAATATAATACTAATGCGGGATTAGACATGGATACGTCTAGTCCCAACTTAATAATAGTTGTGAACTTTTGTGTGGGTTTATGTATGAGTTGGCCGTTCAATGTCTTCCACAAATCTTGGAATCTATCTTATTAGCTTTTTCCCACCCACCCTGTCAAAGCCAAAGTTATATACTCCCTTCGTCCTAAAATTTTCTTCCCAGAGCACTATTCTAACTTCACGGGAATTTATATTTATTTGTGTTTTTTCATGGCCTATATGATAAAATAAAATATTCTTGTCACCACTTGTTTTGTTGAACTTTTGATGTAGTTTTTAAATATGTATGTTTTATTTTTTATTTCTATACCAATATTTAAATAAAATAGATTGAAAAAACTTGAGATTTTTCTTCGTTTTGCGAACCGGGAAGAAAGTTTTAGGACGGAGGGAGTATACGTTAGTTCAAGGCATTTGTTTGAATGATGCTTGTTAGCTTGTTTACCTTTGTTACCCTTTCGAAAGTCTTACTATATGTGTCTGTGTTGTGTTGTGGTGAGAATGTGATCTTATGAAACAAAAAAAATGAATCTGGTACTTTAAATTGTAAGATCTAAGAGTTAGAATTATTGCATCAAAATTAAGTGCACCAAAATGGTTTGAAAATGAGTCATGTCGAAATGCACCAAAATCCTTTGAAAATGTATTATCTCAGAATCTGAGTGCAGGATGCAATCTGAGCCGCACGATGCATCACATCCAAAGCCTAGATTTTATTCTTATTTCTTTCACCAAAGTGCATTCTCACTCGAACCGGCATATATATATATATATATATATATATATATGTATGTATGTATGTATGTATGTATGTATGTATGTATGTATGTATGTATGTATGTATGTATGTATGTATGTATGTATGTATGTATGTATGTATATATATCTATGTATGTATGTATGTATATGGCATATATGCTTAATTTCCTATCTGGCACAACCGTGTTGCAACCCCCTTGTACGTTGCACTTGGTATTTGACTATGTACTCTATTTTAACCAAGGATTTAATAATTTTTGCTTCTTTACTTATTAGTTATTACTCGTAAAACCCTTCTTTTCCTTTTCTAATGTATTGACGTATTGTCTTCCTAATGTTTCGTCTTAGTTGTCAGCGAATCTGTCATTACTATATATAATAATTATACAACAAATTTGGAAAAAAAATGTGCATTTGTTACCGATTATGTCTTGATAGCTATTGTCAAGTCTTGTCACGGAATTTTGCTGCCTAAAAGTCATCGTATTTTTGTCAAGGATAGTGCCGTGACAACATTCCTTACAAAATGACATGTTAAAAGTGGTGGGAAAGTCCCTAACAACGTCGATGACAAAAGAGCATATATTTATTTCAAAGAAGTAAACATGTGACTTAAAAACTTAGAAACAATGAATTGAAAGTAAGCGAAGGAACGTGATGAAGGGATGGAAATGGTAGGGTGTGCGAACATAGCCCGAGCTAATGTGTGTTATGGATAAGAATGAAGGGACTCTAAATGGGCAATACTATATTAAGGGGTTGTTTGGCAACTTCTGAATAGGTAAGTGCTGAACCAGTAAGAGGTCTGAACCATTAAGTGTTGAACCAGTTAGAGGTCTGAACCATTAAGAGCTAGTATATTGCTTAACTATTCAGAGACAAATGTCTGATCAATTCAGATAAGAGGTCTTAACCATTCAGACTCTGTATAATACTTAACCATTCAAAGGCAAATCTTTTAACCATTCAGACATCTGAACCATTAAAAGGCTGAAACAAACAGTCTGAACCATTAAGTGCTGAACCATTCAGACATCTGAAACAAACAGCCCTTAACACACAATTAGGATGAAGTATGTGCAGTCCCAACATATTATACTCCCTCTGTTCCCAAAGAAGGTTCTTGGTTTGACTTGACACAAAGTCTAAGTAAAGTGAATCTATGTAGTTGAAAGTGAGGCAAAAAAGGGAAAGATTGTGAATCACTCTAAGTTTTTAAAAAAAAGGAAAGAGAAGTCTTTTTTGGAACAAAGGGAGTGTGTTTATTGTTATCAATATATGATACTTTATACATTTTGTTTTCATTACTACAATGTGGAGTACAATATAATTACAAAATCGATATGTGATACATAGAGAGTCCAAATCAAACATATCAAGTGTAGTATATCCCGCTCAAGTGAATGGTCTGTACGTGAATACATCCCACAGAAATTAGGGTATAATGGGGGTATGGATTTTCATTTTTGTATAGAAATAGCAGACACAAACTCCTCAATATTATTGTAGGAGCTTCCACCTATATCAACTGCTTCTTTAGCCAGTTGCCTCCACTTTGCAGCATTCTCTTTAAGCAATGTCCCCTTATTTCCCTTCATCACTTCGACCAAACACCTCTCTACTTCTTCTCTAGTGACCATTCCGTTTTCACCAGCTGTTACATGGACCCCAATGTTCCAAACATCAACCAAATACTTGGCATTGGTGGGCTGGTCAGTCCACTGTGGCATGACAACAACAGGGACTCCCAAGCTCAATGCCTCGAGAGTAGACTTCCATCCACAGTGAGTGATGAAGCACCCGATCGCTTGGTGGGATAAGACGTCTAGCTGAGGACACCAGCTTGTGATCATGCCGGCGTCTGAATTGTCTGGCAGGAGATGGATTGGGAGCTTGCTTTGCTCGGATGACCGGATGACCCACAGATATTTGCATTTGCTTTGGACTAAGCCCAATGCAATTTCGGTCATTTGGTGGTCATTCAAGTTAGCCAAGCTCCCAAAAGAAACATAGACTACAGAACCTGGTTCCTGTGCATCCAGCCATTTCATGCAGTTGTTAGAGTCGGGCTTGAATAGACTCAGGCCGTAGCTGTCATCGTCTATCATTCGCCTGTCTAGGTACATGGAGGGAAGAAGTGGGCCAACAGCGATGACTTTGGCTGGGAATTGGGCTGCCATCCACTCCAGCAACTAAAAGAATTTAACGAGTGCATGTCAACCATATTTGTTAAGCCACGACATTGGCCAAAAGAAACAATGAGATCTTTGCGTCCATAGATTCAGAGTTGATAAGTCCTTCCTCGTAAATTTGTAGTTTGAGAAAGACATGAGCAATAAACAGCACCTAAACCAACAGCTAGCAAGAGGTAGGCTATTATGTCTTGTTTGGTAAACATATTGTTCAGAAAGCAGAGCAATATGCTTATTTTTTTTAAATTTTGAATGTAAAGAGCATGTCTGAAAGTCATAAATCTATATTGTGGTGTTCGAATGAAAGCATTTCAGATTACCACTTGTTCGGTTGTGCCCAAATGCCTTTTTCAAAAGTGTTGTTCCTAGAAGCACTTAAGAGCTTTTTGTTAAAACGCCTATTGATGAAAGTTTTTCCATTTTACATAGAAAACTGCTAACGGGTAGTGACAGTATGCTATCCTATAAAACATCCTCTAAAATCTCATAACTATTAGTCCCACCTGCTAATATAGAATGCTAATTGTGGTCAGCAAACATGGCCTGTTTTTCAATGCTTCTATACAGAGTCTCTTTCAATCCAAATTTAACTATCTGTTCATAAATAGAATGGGTAATATATATTCTACTCCCTCTTCATAACGTTCTTCTTGTTTTTCATTTTGGGTTGTCCCGGAATTTCTTCTCATTTCTTTAGTCGAAAAGCTTATGTATTCTTTATTTCTCTACTAAACAAGTTTCAACCACACAAAAGTAGTGAAATTGATAATTATATTAAGATTTGGGTATGTTGAGTGACCTTTCTCAACCAAGAAAAAAACATTTGTAATGAGAAATGAAGCAAGAGCCAGTCTAAATTAGTTTACCTCTTTTTCCAATTCATGAAATGTGTTGAACAAGAGCCAGTCTGCTTGATGTGAATTCAAATTTCTGCCCAAAACCAGCTTCAATAGCGAAGAGTAGGAGTTCTTATCGCCAAGGAAAGAAGGCAGATCACCCAACCCTAAAGGCGTCATTGAAGGCAGAGACAGCGCTGATCCTTCAACAGGAGCAGCCAATTCCAAGCTCCCGAGATCCGCGTGATGGTATATGGAGAACACGGCACACGATTGGCTGTTGAATGCGGCGGCTCGCAGGCCCAGCCGGCGGGCGATCTCCGCCACCCATGGCATGATCGAGTCGTACACCACAGCAGCCAGGACGCAGCCGGGACCGGCGGCTCTAGACGCAATGTCGGCCAGGTTTTTGGAGAGTAAGTCCATGATCCAACCGCTGATTGCATCGACGCCGTCCGGTGGGCCGGCGGCGTCGGCGATGGATTCGATTCTGATGAGGCTCGAATTCGTCTGTAGGCATGAAGTAATTGATGCGGGTGCAACGATGGTCGCCCCTACTCCCCTGGAAGCTAAGCGCTTGGAGAATTGAACCAGCGGGGTAAGGTGCCCCTGTATCGGGAATGGAATCACGAGAACATGAACTGTAGAAGCCATTTTCCCACTCGTGAAATCATCAAAATGCTCATCAGACTATCCATAAGAAGCGCCACACACGCCCCAAACCACCTTGCCGTTCACAAAATTCAAACTTATACTTTTAGCACTTCTAACATCCATGCAAATAATAAAAGATATTTTAATTTAAAATCCACAAAAGAAAAATTTGTGAAGTTTGTGAACTATATGTTTTTGACAAATAAAAGTTCTCAATTCAATCGTGGATTAGTTGTCCAATTCAATGAAAAAAGTGAGTTCTTCCATTCAAGAGTTCTCAAAAGTTTACTTTTTCGAATGCAACCTAAAAATAATTAAGAGTAAATTTCAGATTTTCCTATTTATTCTTCTATTATCAAATATTACTCTGATAGTTTTTATTTAAGGGTATTTTTCTACAAATAGTAATTTTTTTATCATGTTGGTGTTAATTTAAGGATTAAAAATATAATTTCACAATGATAATATATCATTCTTGTCATACAAAATTCTAAACGCCGCTCTTGATGCGTTGTTTGTGAACTACAATCTACAATTGCTTTCTACTACAACAATAGTCTACTTTCGTCGAAATCTTAGCTATTTTTTATCATTCAAAATATTATTAAAATTAATGATTTCACAATGCAAGCCTAAATATAGTCATGTGTGATTTTTAGAACTGTTCATCTAAGCTTTTGGAACTATTCATCTAAGCTTTTTGACTAATCAAATTCTCTCAATGTGTAAGCCTAAATATAGTCATGTGTGATCTTGTTTGATTTATCTTAACATATAGATTATTAATATATAATTTCTATAATTTATTAATATACAAATTACAAGATAAAATGGATTAAAAAAGTACATTAGATGGTGTGCCAAAAGGTAAGTGGACAAAGACAGTGGAACAGAGGGAGTATATTTTATTATTCATATTGATATTAAAATTAATATACCAAATGAGCACCATGTAACAGGTAAATGTGCAAATGGTGAAAATACAATAACATACATCAAGATTTGTCAGAATTTGTTTGTCATACGCTTTAAATTGGACGATTTTTCTCTTTTTAATAATATAGCGGTATAATTATTAGTTGTGTCTTATTTAAATTCTTGTTTTGCACCCTTCAAAAAAATATTGTTTTGCATCATCAAAAAAGTAAAACATGTCACAAGCAAAACACATTACAAGTTATGATTAATTTAATGTGTAAAGTATGATGTGAAACTATTTTTGTTTGATCGATCAAAACTTATTTATTTATGTGGTTTTTTTTTATTTTAATTAAAAATAATAATAATAATAAATATTGCTCTTTTTCTCCCACTATCTTTTGGACATGCTAGTGATACAAAAATTAAGAAATCAAAGTTTATGTGATTAATATTCACATTTAAAAAAGTAAATAACAAAATGACTCTATATCACACAAATAATTTTAATTATGACTTCAGATAAAAGAAAATAGTGGGACATACAAAAAAAACAAAAAGACAAATAATTGAAAAAAAAAGAGTTAAAAAAATGAAAGAAATTGAGTGCATTTCATTTTAATGAAAAATGTGATATTTAAAAAAAATAAAAAATCTATTTCAACCCATTTACCATTTTTTTGTCATAATTCCAACTCCTAAAGGAAACAAAAAGATAAAAAAAAGCATTCTAAAAATGGAAAAAAAAACATATAATAAACGAAAAATAAGAAATGAGTCAACTGTCCTCTATGATTTAGGAATAATGCACCAATGCCCTTTCTTCACTGGAATATGACTAGAAAATGATCAGAAAGAGTGTGAGTTCAAAATAAATTTTGAAAGAAAAGGGATATTAGTGCCAATTTTTCAAACCGGAGGGATACGCTGCTCACATAGTTTACCCTCTTAGCTCATTTTTGTGAGTGAATTAAAAGTTTAAAGATCTAGTTACAACCCAAAACCCCTTTTAGGGAGGATTTCTTGTACTAATGGCATAGGTTTGAATTGGTCAATAGTCACCATGGACGGAGACAGTGGTGGACCTCTTTTCTTTCCTCAACATTCCCTCCCACACTCATCATTGAGTGAGTATGTCACTTATGACCAAAGACGGAAAGACCAAGTAAAAAAAAAAAGAACTCGGTTTCCCATTCAAACCTCAGTCTCTCTCTGACTTTTCTTTTCTGAACTTTCTTCCACATACCCTTTTGTGTCATCCCAATGATTCCACTCAAAAAGTCCTTCCACTCTTTTATATACAACTCCCTTGTTCCCAAAACCCAATCTAAATAGGTAACAATTCCAAATCCCGTGACCCAAACGAAATGGAGCGCGGTTTGAGCTGGGAGGACAACACGGCTTTGGTCGCAGAGCTAACCCAAGGGATGGAATGTGCCAAGCAGCTTTGCGCTGCTTTGCACTCCGATGAACCTTCATCCGAAACTCGCCACTTTCTCTTGGAGAAAATACTGGCTTCCTACCACAAATCCCTCTTGCTTCTCAAACCACCGCCCGAATCTTCCATCTCTGGGGATGGAAGCTCGCCGAGTGGGGGAATTGACAAGAGCCGGGACGTGGGAAGAAATGTGACGAAAAAGAGGTAAGAATATGATCGCGATTCTTGAAGTTCGTTTTCTGATGCATTTCATTTACAGGTGAAGTTATTCTTACCTGCCTGGTTTTTTTGTGTTTTGGCAGAAAGTTGATGCCAAAATGGACGGAACATGTTAGAGTTGGCACTGAAAATGGACTTGAAGGTCCTCCTGAAGACAGATATAGTTGGAGAAAGTACGGGCAGAAAGACATTCTTGGAGCAAAATATCCAAGGTGAATTAATCATCTGCAAAAAAACACAAAATCTTAGACATAAAGGGTCAAAACCGGGCACTAATCAACTAGGATGAAATAGAAAAAAAACATTATGGGTATTTAAAAAAAGTTGTTTTTTTTTTGTTTTGCAGGAGCTATTACAGATGTACGCACCGCAAAGTGCACAACTGTTGGGCCACGAAACAAGTGCAGAGATCCAACGGTGATCCAAACACATTTGAGATCACATACGCAGGGGCACATATATGTGGCCAAACACCGCCAATGAAACAAGAACCGGAACAAAACATACAACAAAATGATGATGATCTCACAATGCAAACAAGCCAGGCATTAATGGAATTCAGTTTAAACTCGGACGACTTTGAAGGGAAGGAGACAATGTGTCATTTCTCCTTCCCTCAAACATTATTAACAGATGAGAATCAGCCATTCCAAACTTTGCGGAAAGTCGCGGGGAATTACTCACCGACTTCCTTTGTTTCACCTGCCACTACCGACTCGAACTACCACTCCGTGTCTTATCAAGAGGCTAGCAGCTTTGGGGGAGTTCATAATTTGCACCATTCGCATTCATCAGACCTCACAGATTTATTCTCAGCCACTACTTCGTCCACAAACTCTCCCATTGTGGGCTTGGACTGCACAATTGATCTACCAAATTATGACCCAAACTTCCTCTTTGATGCCTCAGAGTTTTTCCCGTGATCCCATGTAGTTAGTATACATGAAGAAAAAAGAAAGGCAATGGTACAGTAGGGGCTCAATCAATAAGTTTGGCATTTTTTTGGAATATGTGGATTTTCACTATGAAAGTGGAACAAAAGTAGATATTTTTGTATGTCAGATTCTTTAACCGATGGCTAGATCTAAGGAAGAAATAATACTCCCTACGCCCAACTACTTTTGGGACAAAAAATAGTGGAATGAATAAAAATAGTAGTTGATGGATACCCCGGAAAGGGATTTTTGGTTAATGGAAAGAATACTCCAAGCCCAAGCTCGTGGGCACATTTTAGTACAAGATGAGGTTGGCCTTCTCCTAGAGCAGTGGCGGATACAGGAATTGATCTAAATGGGGGCACCATTGATCGGGGATCCAGGGGTAGCGCCTCCTTTTTTATTGACTTTTGAAATGACAAAAAAAATTAGTTTTATTTCAAATATTTATTGAATGTAAAACATTTTAATAGGTAATGTGAAATTTTATTTTATGAACAATTAATTATATGCAATAAAATGCACTTTATTTTTAAAAAATTAAACAAAAAAATTAAATTTGACCTAATCTGATGGGGTCACATTAATTTTTGTTGGAGCATATATACATAAAATTTTAAAGAATTTTTTTTTACCTTATTACAAAAAAAATAGTTGGGGGCACTTGCCCCCTAATCCAAAGAAGTGGATCCGCCACTGGCCCAGAGCTCGTTGAGGGACTCGGGTTCGAGGTAAGGTAGGCCCCTCAGCATGGGAAGCCCTGAGCTTCAGCTTGTTGGGTCGCCCTCTTGGGCTGGCCCAAAAGCATATTGTGAGGGCTTAAATATCTGTGCCAGCACACCTGCATGCGCATCCTTTGTTCATAAATTGTTAAATACCCGGCCTGAGAGGGGATACACACTTATTCTCTGTCAAAATCAAATAGAAAATTTCAAGTATCTATCTAAACTTTGTTCTCTCACTAACCACGGACCTTTGACTCCATCTACCGTAACAACCCAAAACCAACTAAAACAGAAAATAGAAAAATATATAGTAACTGACTAAGCTACTCCAACACCCCCCCCCCCTCAAGTTGGAGGGTGATTGAACCCCCAACGTGAAAGAAATCTGTGGTGAAGTACAGTAGGCAGGCTCTTGGTAAACAAATCAGCGAGTTGATGTTGAGTGAGACTGTGAGAGAATAAAGTATCCACTAACAGACCTTGTGTTAGGACACGCAGCCCAATCTGAGTCACAATAAGCTTCTAGTCGGAATGTGGAAGAGTTGTTGAAGTGAATACCTTGAGATAGAGCTGAGTTTAGATATCTCAAGGTGTGCTGGGCAGCTTCCCAATGAGGAATCCTAGGATCTTGCATGAATTGACTGAGGAATTGGACAACATAAGCTATATCTTGTCTGGTATGAGTGAGAAAGTTCAGTTTGCCCACAAGAGTTCTATAAAGAATGGGGTCTGACAAAGGTTGACCAGTATTGAGCTGAAGTTGCAGACCACTTGGTAAAGGACAGCGTGCAGAAGCATCTGAGGAGCAGTGGAAGGAAGACAGAAGGTCTAAAGTAAACTTACATTGAGTAAGAATCATTCCATGTGGTTCATAGATGGAGGCGGCTTCCAGTCCAAGGAAATACCCCAATTGACCAAGATCTTTAATCTTGAAAACAGAATGGAGGTGAGACTTCAAGGCAATGATCTCTTCAATGGTATTCCCTGTTATAAGGATGCCATCAACACAAAACAGTAGATGGACAACAGAAACACCAATGCGCTTAGTGAAGAGGGAGTAGTCATTCTTAGAAGTAACAAATCCTTTGGATCTGAGGACAAGACATAGCTCGGCGTACCATTGTTCATCGGCAACTGCTAAAAGAGCTCTGACTCTGGTCATTTTGACAACAAGAGAAAAAGTCTCATGGTAATCAATGCCCTCTTTTTGTGTACAACCTCGAATTACTAACCTGGCTTTGTGTCTCTCCAAGGTTCCATCGGATTTGATTTTCAGTTTGTAAATCCATTTACAACTTATAGGCTTCTTACTTTTTGACAGATCACAGATTTCCCAAGTTCCAGTGTCTACAAGGGCCTGAAATTCAGTTTGCATGGCTTGTTGCCAAGCTGGATTATCCTTGGCCTCTTCATAATTTTTAGGTTTCTGCATATGTGTAAGAGTATGCAAAAGATTTTTACTAGCCTGAGTTAAAGTACTTAAGCACATATGTGTGGAAGAAGCAGTGGAAGTAAGAGTGTGAGGACAAGATATGAAGGAAGAGGAATCAGAACACAAGATTGAGAGGAAATGGCAGAGGTGTGACACACATAGTCTTTGAGATTAGCATGTGCTTTATGAGTCCTAAGAGATCTTTTAGGAACAAAAGTAGAGGAAGAAGAGATATCGAAGGAAGCTGAATCGGAGGATATATAAACAGAAATATCAGAAGATAAGGAGTTGTTAGGAGGGGAAGAAGAAGGAACAGTAGGGATATCAGATGGAGAACAATCTGACAAAGGGTGTGAAGGATCATAATTGGAAGGGAACAAAGGATCCTGAGGTGGATCATTTTAGAAAAGAAAAACGGATTCATGGAAGATCACATCTCTAGAGTCTTCAACCTTATGTGTTGTCATGTTGTAAACCTTATAAGCTTTCTTTCCATAAGGGTACCTTGGAAATACACCTTTGAAAGCTCTTTCTGCAAACTTTATTCTTCCTTGTTTCTGTGTTGAGATATATCACAAACAACCAAAGACCCTTAAATGTGTGTATGAGGGTTGTTTGCCAAAAATGATTTCATAAGGAGATTTGTTTTGCTGGAGCTTTGTGGGGAATCTGTTGATGAGGCATGTGGTAGTGAAAACACATTCACCCCAAAATTTCTGAGGTATATTGGACTGGATAGACAAAGCTCTGGAGGTCTCAAGTAAATGTTTATGTTTTCTTTTAACAACTCCATTTTGTTGTGGAGTGTGTTTCACACTGGTTTGATGGATAATACCTTTGAAAAGGAAAAACTGAGAAGTGGATTGACTTTTTCCTAATTCTAAGGCATTATCAGATCTGATTGTTTTAAATTGAGTACTAACCATGATCACAAATGATTTGATGAGATCAGCAACATTACTCTTAGCTGCCAAGAGATAAGTCCATGTGGCCCTAGAACAATCATCTACGATGGTGAGGAAGTATGAGAATCCATTATAAGTTTTTGTGTGATAGGGACCCCACAGATCAAGATGTATAAGTTCAAATATATGTGTTGAGTGACCGTGACTAATGGGAAAGGGTAATCTTTGTTGCCGGGCCCTAGGACAAACATCACAACAAGACAAGGAATTGAAACTTTCATTATCAAAAGAACAAAGATGCTTAAGTTTGTAACTTGGTAAGTGACCCAATCTCATATGCCACAAGTTTACATCAGATTGCATACAAGCCTTATTACAGAAAGTATCATGAGATTTAACAAGAGGATGAACAATGGATCTGAAGAATGATGACTGATTTGTGTGATGTATAAACCACCATGTCTTTTACTAAGCTCCACTTTCTGCTGTGAAACAAGTTGTAACTCCCAGTTGTTTACACAATTTACCCACAGATAGAAGGTTGAATTTGAAATCAGGTACAAACAAAACATCCTTGAGCATTATATCACAAGGTAAATGGATGATTCCAGTTTGAAAAACTGTGAGTTGTTGGTTATTAGGCAGAATGATTTGGTGAGGTGAGGTTAAGTTTGTGAGATTTGTGAGAAGACTAGAATCGGCACACATATGATCAGTTGCTCCAGTGTCTAAAATCCAGGCATAATCATCAAACAAATGCACATTATTACACATATGTTTAACCAAAAAAATTATTAGGGATAAGAATCATATCAGCCATGTGTGCTGTAAATGCTTGGGATGAATGTTGAACTTTATCATCATGGAAAGAACGGATGAACTTCATGAATTCATTGCAAAACTCAGGGCTAAACTGTCCATCAGATTTAGATTCACCAGTTTCAGATTCTTCCCCACTCACAGCATTTGCAGCAACTCTTCTTGGTTTGGTAAACTTGAAGTCCTTTGGGAAGCCAACAAGCCTGTAACACTTAGCAGCAGTGTGGCCCTTCTTGCAAATTTGCAATAATCACAAATGATGACTTTCCTTTCTTCAAATCTCCCTTTACTTGTTGGGTGAACATTTACATTCAGAGACGCATGTTCAGCTGTAAAATGAGAAGGTGCTTGTATCTCCCTCTGTTTCTCTTACTGTATGAGGAGTCCATAAGCAACTGGAACTGAAGGGAGAGGTCTCATAAGAAGTATGTTCCCTCGTGTGACATTGTATTCTGAGTTGAGGCCAATAAAAAACTGAATTAGTTTCTGATTCTGTTCATACTTGGTAAGCTCTTGAACAGCTCCAAACGAACACCTTGGCAAATTGGATACCAAAGCCAATTCATCCCAAATCTTCTTCAATTTTGTATAATAAGTGGCGATGTCTGAATTTCCTTGAGTGATAAAACATATATCCTTTTGTAGCTGAAACAATCTTGCACCATTCAATTGTCCAAATCTATCTCCAAGCCCATTCCACATTTCAGCGACGTTTTCAGCATACAGAATGCTATCGCCAATTTCTTTGCTCGGTGTATTGAGGATCCATGAGGTTATCATATCATTGCATCTCTACCAATTGTTGACTCGATTGGATGAATCGCCAAGTTTTCTGATAGTGCCTTTTACAAAACCTAACTTGTTCTTTGCTGACCGAGCAATCGTCATGGACTTCTGCCATGAGCCAAAACCTTTGCCTGATAATTTTCTTGAAATCAGACTGGATGATCTGAAGGATGAAGATAATAAGGACCAGGATTTATCGGTCGTGTTGGATGTATCGTTCGTGTTAGATGCCCTAGAGATCTGCAAAGGATGAAATCAAAGAACTCAGAGAGAAAAAAATGGAGAATCTGAGATTAATCGTGATCAACGATTCATGAATTTCGGGAGAAATGATCGCAGAATCGATCGATCTCTGAGATGAATCGAGATCAATTGAAGGAGCTTCGATACCATGTTGGATTTAGGAACGTGTCCATGATCGTGAAGAAAGGATGAAGAAGGTAAACTTTTCACATTAACTTGCTTGAGAAGAAAGGTTACAAGAAAGAGGTATATAAAAGAAGAAGGAAACAAACAAACCACTGTAACAACCAAAACAAACTAAAATAGAAAAATATCTAATAACTGACTAAGCTACTCCAACAGTGACTCAACAGGCATTGTAGCATATGAAACTAACCCATCCTCAACAATTGATCTTTATTAATATTCCAGAAGTTTGATCCAATATAATAAGGCCGAATAGAGATCATTTTGAACTTTCACCTTTAAGAAATCAATCTTAAAAGTAGTTTAGATAACACAATACTTATATCACTCCTCTCCACTTCAACCAATCTACCTTGGTGTTCTCCATCATCATGGTAATAACCTTGGTCCAAGTATATTGGGTCAGTGGCATGACATCTATAATATCGCTGAATTGTCTAAAATTATATAACAGTCTAATTTCATGTGAAAACAGTGACAACGTTTTATGCTAGATTTCCTTCCTAACTCGACCTTTGAAGAGAAATCTGTCATTATATTATTGAAGACTCTGCAAAAGAAGATACAACAGAATGTAACCAAGAGGAACTAATGGAGTCGTCAAGAGCAAAATCAACTAGGTGATTGAGGTGTGTATTGTGTAATAAACATTAGGCATAGACACATCAACACAGTAGCCTAAGAAGGGTGTCATGTGCATGAACGGATATAATGAAACACGAAGCAAATTGTGTTTAGGTAATAACTTTTCTACCTGGTCATGTATTATAGCTATCTTCATTCAACTCAGTAACACCAAAGGATTTACTTTCTTTCCCGTCTATAGTCTTCCTAAGAGCAGCCCTCAGCCCCAACACTATGAATATGTTTGTTAGGGTAAGCAGCGACTCAGCTCCTCCATGCAACCAGTCCACATTGGAAAGTGAAGTCCCATATTCCACCTTTGCTGTTTCAATTTCATCATACTCGAATCAGCATGAATTACCCAAAGATTGAATCTTTTAATAGAAAAAAGATATCCAAAAGTAGGAAGGAAAATTACCATAAATGCCTGCTGGGACTGCATGGCATAGTTGAAGCATTTAAAGAAACACAACGAAATACCCCGTATCAGTATTGCATCTAATATCAAACTAATAGCATTCATTTTGCATAACAAATACAAAGTAAATTATATACTCAAATTTACTCATATGAAGATTTTGAAAATGTATTAGAATTTCCTAACTGCACCCCATCATGGTCACTCAAATAATAATGCGAAGATCAGTCATAACACACCCACACGGGCGCACACACGCAACACAATGCAAAAGCAAAAAAAAGGCCATAATAAAGAAATTGAATTACTTTAAGGATATGTTTGGAACACAGAAAATTATAGTGAAAGGGGGGAGATGTGGCCAAGGGAAATGGTGTTTTTATGGTTGGTTTTACCTTGTAGCATACAAAGGAAAATAAAATTCAACTGCCCTTTTAAAACTTTAAGCATTCTTATCCTACAAAAAAAAAAATATAGTAGAGGTATAAAAGCAAAAAGATGTTGAAAAAATATATATGAAAGATTAATTGATTTTAATCAAATTCAGAGAGTGTATCCAAACTAACCCGTATACAAAATCCACAATTATCAGCAATCTAAAACTCCAGAAATCTTACTACCAGTCCACCACAGTGAATTACAAATTTTAAAATGAAGAAAATCCAAATATATTCAAATGAGAAAAAAAAAAAGAAAATGAATAAGAAAATTACTGGTGGCGCCGACAAAGGCAAGCAAGAAATAGAAGCCGAAGAGGGTGAGTTTAGGGGCAGTTTTGGATTTGGTGATGAAATACAAGAAACCCATGTAAGGGAAGAGGGAGACGGCGAAGAGCTGGGAAGCTATGCTCTGAGAATCGACGGTGGGAGCCCATGGATCCACCGGGAACAGGAACGCTTTAGATAAAACGACGCTCCTCGCCTTCTTGTTCCCGGAATTGAATCGGTTGCCCTCTTTCCAGGGCCGCGTTGGGAAACGGCGGAAGATGGGAGAAGGAGGTAGGGCCGTGGTTGTTGCTCTGTTCATCCAAACGGGTCCTTGGCCTTGCACACAGAGTACCATCATCTTCCTGTTCAGCTAACAAAGTGAGAAGAGATGGAGTTTCTTTTAACTCCCACCTTCAAAACAAAAAATTGTTGCGGTGTATGGGTACCCAATATTTTGACATAAAATTATTAGGGATCTATACTTTTAAAAATACTAGATTCATACCCGTGCGTTGCACGGCAAATAATTTATTCTAAATTATTAAAATGATATTTCCATGAAATAAATATGTCTAAATCTAAATTTAAATATAGGATTAAATACAAATTTAACATAGATTGGTAGCGAACTATATGAATAAATTTGACACACAATCACAATATTTGAAAGAATTGCATTCTAAATTCTACTTTATGTAACGGGTATAACATGTTTGAGCAAGAGAGCCTGACATAGCTTTTAAAAACGTATAATCACATCTCGGTGAAAAACCGGTTTATATTTGCATCAAATATATGACATATATGAAAGTATTCAATTGATTAAATTTATTTGCAATAAAACCTTGTAATATTTTAAACTGAAAACATAAAATCTTACACTCATCTTTACAGCATTTTAGGGAAAAAATGTCTACTTCATACTACCTCCGTCCCGCTATATTCGTCCAGTTTTGACTTTTGGAACTGTTCATCTAAGCACTTTGACTCATCAAATTCTCTCAATGTGTAAGCCTAAATATAGTCATGTGTGATCTTGTTTGATTTGTCTTAACATATAGATTATTAATATATAATTTCTATAATTTTTTAATATACAAATTACAAGATAAAATGGATTAAAGAAGTGCATTGGATGGTGTGCAAAAATGAAAGTGGACAAATATAGTGGGACGGAGGGAGTAACATGGTTTTCACCCATATATGAGTTGCTCATATATTAATACCCCGGTATAATTTTCGTAGTACATAAAAAAACTTATAATATATGCAAAACACATCACATTNCGGCTTATATAGGCATCAAATATATGACATATATGAAAGTATTCAATTGATTAAATTTATTTGCAATAACACCTTGTAATATTTTAAACTGAAAACATAAAATCTTACACTCATCTTTATAGCATTTTAGGGAAAAAATGTCTACTTCATACTACCTCCGTCCCGCTATATTCGTCCAGTTTTGACTTTTGGAACTGTTCATCTAAGCACTTTGACTCATCAAATTCTCTCAATGTGTAAGCCTAAATATAGTCATGTGTGATCTTGTTTGATTTGTCTTAACATATAGATTATTAATATATAATTTCTATAATTTTTTAATATACAAATTACAAGATAAAATGGATTAAAGAAGTGCATTGGATGGTGTGCAAAAATGAAAGTGGACAAATATAGTGGGACGGAGGGAGTAACATGGTTTTCACCCATATATGAGTTGCTCATATATTAATACCCCGGTATAATTTTCGTAGTACATAAAAAAACTTATAATATATGCAAAACACATCACATTCTACTTTTATCAATCACATCAAGGGTATCTTTGGAAAGTCAATACAAAAATAGTTCCCCCTTATATTTTTTAAAAAATCAAAATAAGAACATTTTTGTGACGGAAGAAGTATTTATAAGAAATTATGCATTGCATGTTGAGCTAACTTTAATAGTAGAATTGTTGGTCTCCCTGTCCAATAACATGTGGAGGGTTCCCATGACATTTTTACTCCAAAGTCAAAATCAACTTCTGTGGTGCAATTGAAGAGTATTAAGGGTGTGTTTGGGTCAGGATGGAGTAGGGGGGTTCACTGGAAGGGTTAGGGGGTTGGAAGCGTCAATTTAATTGAGCACTGGAACGCCCTGGGTCATCCCATGACATGGGGTTTCAATGTCGTCGGAACCCCACCCTAATAACCTAGGCAAAATAATATAAGCAAGGATAAAACATCTCCAACTTTCAATTATCTTCTACATATAACTCCACTTGATCTTTCGAATGATTAAAACTATTATCCCAAAAATTTAATATGTTTTTTACAATAAATAAGAAGCCAACTCAAAAATTGGCTCATTCTCACCTCAAAATACGCTACTGTAGAAAACGTACATATACTCTTTAAAATATTGATACAAAAATAAGAAGATATGATTTCTTTGAGATGTAACAATCAAACATTAAAAAACTAAGTCGGAATATGAAGATATTGGAATATCCCCTTCCAATTTTTCACCCA